CCAATGCTCCTGTGGGAAAGAAACAGAGCAGAGCAGTGGGGCAGAAGAGTTTTCTGGCCGCTTTCAGCAGCCCAGAGTTGGTGCCAGCAACGCCCACGCTGCGCAGGATGAGCGTGACGTGGGCAGCAGACCCCGGAGGGCTGGGGAGGACAAGCTGGGAGAGCAGGGTGGCTGCTGGCAGGGGCTCCCCGGCGGGGACGTGAGGGACAGGCACCCGTCCCACGCGTGGGGTGGGAGATGGGGCACGCGATGCCCTTTTCTGTAATGAGTGGGGGCGGTTTCTGCATTTGCCCGGCCCCAAGCGCAGATCGGGGATGCTGCAGGGGGCATCGCAGGGGGTGGAGGGCCGGTCCCCTACCTCTCACTGGCCCGTGGGCGACTTGGCAGCATCGAACATCTTCTTTCGCCCCTCCATCCCCGACATGGCCTCCACGTTCTTGCGCCAGTCGCCCACTTCCACGGGGCGCTCCTGCCAGGAGGGACAGGGACAGGGGTTGCAATGGCCGTGTGACAGGCGACTGGCAGCCCCACGCTCTCCCTCCTCATTGCATAGGGCTGCCCCACTGCAAACGTCCCCTCCCTTGGAGCCAGCTCTGCCCTGTGTCCCTGCACGTGACGCTGACGGGAAGATGGCAAGCAGAGGTCTCAGCTCTGCAGGGAGGTCTGGATTCATGTGGATACCCCGCCAAAGCCTGGCTAAATTGCATTAATGCACTAGAAGGCCCAAAAATCCTGGAAAATTTCTTTAGGAGGAAGGAACCAGAATGTGCGTGGGACTTGGGATTTACACCAGCACACCGGGACAAATGCAAGCAAAACCACTTTCTGCTGGGACTTCCCAGCCCACATAAAACCCATCTCCACCTTCTCCGAGCTTTTGGAGGGGACTGGGATTGCTGCTGTGACAGTGAGAGCCTGGCAGTTGCTTCCAGAACATAAAGGGGAGATGACAGCCGTTCCGGGAGCATGCCTAGGTGTCTGCTCTGCCAACCCACAAGCATTCATAGATTACAAGCCGTGCCCCAAAATCATCTCATGACATCTAAAATAAACTCAGGTCTATTCACCACCTGGTGCTGAGGACCGTAAACACAGTTTTTATCCAAAGGACTGAAAAACGTGCCCTGCTAGCAAGGGGGGGGGGAACCAGAAAAATAACTGAAAATTGAGATTCTTATCCAACCGGCTGAGCTGGGACCAAGGGGTAAAACCCCTTTGCGGGGAGGCACTAGGAAAGCAGCACAACTCTTGTCGCTGGGGTGCTTGCACACCCCAGGCAGGTTTGGGCATCGATCTCTGTCGCCGGTGCTGAGCCTTCCCCCTCTCGCCAGCTCTGCAAAGCTGCTGTGTGTGAACCGGGCCGTTTATCTCAGGCTAAGCGTGCTTGCTGGGCTTGCTCTCTCTTATCTAATCTGGGTCTGGGAGTTTCCTGGGTGTTTTCGGGGCGTGATTGCACCCAATAGGAGCTCTCCTGGCTCCTCAGAAGACCAAAGCCCAAACTCTCTGCAAGTGCAGCCCAACAGCCATGCCCAGGGGGGCCCAGCTGAAAGGCGCCCACGTGTGCCGGGAGGGAAGAGCATCATGGATGTAGCCCTAAATCTCACTCGTTATTGTCCACCAATTACCTGGCCTAGCCAAACTGCTCCCATGGGGTCCTACAAGCTCCCACAACGGGCAGTGCCTCGCACAGACTGCCCCGTGCTATCTCTGAGGCTTACAAGGGATGAGCACAACCCACGCAGGCTTCACAGGGGACCCTGGAGCAGGGCAGGGGCATTCCTAGGAGGTGTCTCCATCGCTGGCCTCTAGGAGAGTCACCCACCTTCTCCGTGTCCTCCTTCTTGACAGATTTCAGGTTGGCTCTCAGATCCATGGAAACCTTGTGCTTGGAGCCCAGCAGAGCCCTCAGCATGGCATCGGCGGAGACGCGGACTCGCCTCAGGGGGGGGCGCTTGAACTTTCCTCGGAGGTCAAGCACTTTGATTTTCAGATCTTTAATCTGCAGGTTGAGGAAAGGAGGAGGGGCGGGAGGTCACCGCATGGCTGCCTTGCGCCAAAAGCTCCTACGTGAAGCAGGAGGGGTCTGCGCCTCTCCTGCAGCCACGAGGACCAACTTCACCGGGGGACTGTCCACCTGAGCACAGAGCTGCTGTCACTGCCTTGTCCCCGCCTGCTCTGCTGGCAGCCAAGCGGCCAGCAGGAGCCCTCAGACCCACAAGGGGCGACCAGAAGAGCGAGGAGGTTGCCTGTGGCCCCCATGGACAGCTTGAGCTCCCTGAAGCAGGGATGGACCTCCTGCTGAGTGATGCCTCGCAGAGCAAATACCAACCCTTAGATAAGCCTGGTGCACGTCCCACATCCAAGCTCAGCCCAATCCATGACAGACCCCCATGGAGGCCCAAGCTGCCATCTGGGAGGGAGTTAGTGTCAGGGCAAACAGGCCAGCCCGCCTCCTACCTCACGAGTATTATGGTTGCATTTCGCTTCGATGTCGTATCTCTCTTCATCCACGATCTCAACTTTCTCGTGCAGCTCCCTGCACAGGTCCTGGGGGCCAAGCAGGAGAGGAGAGCGGTGAGCAATGCCCCCCGTGCCCCCCAGGAGCTCGCTCCACCCTCAGCCCTGAGGAATACCTGGAGCTGGCTCAAGGAAAGCCCACTGGTGTGCAGTGGTGTGATCCGCTCAGACAGGTATCTTTCCTTCTCTGACTGCTTGTCCACGATCTCCTGTTCCCACTCCTCCTTCGCTTTTGCCAGCATCAAACTCTACGGGCACAAGTAAAGGGCAGAAGCGTGAACAGCCAGGCTCCTCCGCTCCCCCTGGGCCTCCTCACGCAGCATCTGCAGGATGGGACGGTCCTGTCTGCCTCACAAACCTCCCCCCTGCTGCGGCTGTCTCCCCCCAAAATCACTGCGCCGCTGCCACACACATCAAAAAATCCCCGCGCCTTTTGTGTGGCGACCCCGGAGGCGGGGGAGCAGCAGGGCCCGCCACACCACAGGGCTGCGGTGGTGGTGGTCCCGATGGATGCTGACGCCGGCACTTTCTCTGCACCGGTTTGCTCTGCTGCGGCAGAAAATGATTGTTCCCAAGCCCCGACCTGGGGAGCTCCCGGGCTCGTGCTGCCGAGCTGCTGGGGCACAAACGCGAGGTCTGCGGCTTTGGAGCAGAAGGCGCCAGCGCCTCTCCCCACCTTCGTCAAGAGGCGGTGCGGGGAGGTTTGTTTGCTGCCTGCACCACAAAGCCCACATGAGTGAGGATTTTTGGGAAGACAGGAGGTGGGAACGGGAGCTGCTCCCCCAGGCCCACGCCTCTGCCACTCCTCATCGCCGTCCCACCGACCACGCACGTCAGCCACCGCTCCCTCTCCCCAGCAAGACAAACCCCGGGGAGTTTCCAGCCCTTGGGACTCACCTTCAACAAGAGTTTGCGTGAGGCTGTGATCTTGGATTTTCTCTAGGGGAAAGGGGAGGGGGGAGAAAAAAAATAAAACCACTTTTGAAAACAAACTGACAGCAAATGCAGCATCGAGGTCCCTCCCAGAAGGAAAGGCACTTACCTCCCTGCAGGCGGTGTGCGGTCAGGAGGGGGCAACAGGGAACGAGAGAAGAGAAGAGGGCATCAGTGAATGAGAGTCAAAAAGAGGCGACAATCAAGAAAAGCGTCTCGGGATTGCAGTTGGTTTCCTTATTTCCATATCTAATAGTTGCCCCCTGCACTAGATGACCACTAGTGGTCCCTTCCAACCCTAAACATTCTATGATTCTATGTCAGCCAGGTCTGAGATGACAGTGCCCTCTGGAAATGCAGTGGGTGCCCAGGGCCACCACTCAGGAAGCCAAAATGCCGCTCAGACACAGCACGCAAGCCATCACGGTGCCCATCGTGCCGGCCCCAGCCCGGTCCCTGTGGCTCGGGCCACCGCACCCTCGTCCCCGCGCTCCCTGCGCAGCCGGGGCTGGCACGCAGGATGCCTGGATCCTGTTCAGGTTTGCAGGGCTGGGGCACCTCTGGGTCACTGATGGCTTGATGGGTCATCAAGGCTTGATGCAAGCCTTGCGGGGAGGCCTCTCCCTTCTGTTCACGATGTTGTATCTGTACGATGTGCTACGAAGAGCCTCGCAGCAAAGCCAGTGCTGCTGCCCACCTCGGATCCCTATTTCGGGATCTAGGAAAGCTCCGAGGTTTGAACTGGGACATTGAAAAGGCTAACAATGTTTATTTAAAGACAGTTTTTGCAAGGCGAATGGCACAGAGGTCTCGAGCATGGGCTGCTCTCCCAGCTGAACCCCTCCAAAAAGGGACAAGCTCAGCGGGGTGAGGACTTAGTGAAATCCAAGGGAAACTCGCGCTACTTACGGCTCTGGCATTGTGGAATTGCACTGTTCGCCTGCAAAAAAAAAGGGGGGGGAAATAAGCTGAAACAAAGGAGCAAATCCCAAATCCACCCAAACCCAGCAAGCGGCAGCGGGATGCTCCTGAGGTCCGGTGCTGCCCCGTGCTGTCGGCAGAGGGAAGCGACTCTGCAGCTTCGCCATCCTGCTGGGAAGCACCAAGAGGAACCGGCAGGCTCGGAGGAATCCTTATTCCGGGCAAGCTCCAACCTGCCTCCAGCCGGCCCTGCAGGACTCGGTCTCCTGCTCCCCGGGGGTGTTCCCAAGCACGGAGCTGCTCCCCCGCCGGCTGCATCGCCCACCCCAGCTCGGGGCGAGGGGCTGGAGGCGAGCGTGGCTGGGAAGCAGAGGGGAAATGGGGAGCCTTGAGGTCCCCCACCCCGCACTGGCGCGGGGATTCCCATCCCACGGGTGGGCAACCGCTCAGACGGTGGAGCCAAAAATTGGCCTCAGGAGCGACAGAGCAAGGGGCAACAAGCTGTGGCCACGCGGCTGAGCAGATTCCTTTAGCATCCATGTTCCTGGTCCAATATTTATGGTTTCATATTTTAAATTTGCTTGGTAATCTTATGCCCTGGCAGCTGCTTCCCCGGCACTGCCTCTAACACTTCCCTCTCTCGCCAAGCAGCCGGGGCACCATAGAAATCTGAGTAATAAAAAAATGTGTGGGAAAATGCCAATTAGTTTATTTTTTCCAAGGAGGAGTAACAAACTGGCACCACATTTCAGAAGGAAACAGCATTTTTTCCAGTGGTGGGTTTAGTCCTTTCCCTCAGCACTGAAACGGCAAAGCTGGAATCTTTTGTCTCTCTTTCTTTGCATCCCCCTAAATTTGGAAACTGTTTTAAACCCCAAAGATTCCTGACGGGGGAAAGAGAAAGGAACAATTCTGGTCTCAGACAGCTGCTCCCAGGCGCGCATGGAGCCTGGGCCAAGCAAATCTCAGCGCAGCTCCCAGCTCCATCCACTTGTCCCTGTCCCCTCGCCGTGCCTGGCTGGAGCCATGGCCTGAAGGAATGGAGTTTGGGGGGGAAACGCCACATAATCCCAGCAGGAA